GCACCATCCCTTGGTTCCACCCCCTACCCACCTATGAGCATGCCCCTTGGTTCCACCCCCTACCCCACCTATGAGCATGCCCCTTGGTTCCACCCCCTACCCACCTATGAGCATGCCCCTTGGTTCCACCCCCTACCCACCTCTAGGCACCGTCCTTGGTTCCACCCCCCTACCCACCTCCGAGCATCGTCCCTTGGTTCCTCCCCCTACCCACCTCTGGGCACCGTCCCTTGGTTCCAACCCCTACCCACCTCTGGGCACCATCTTTTGGTTCCACCCCCTACCCACCTATGAGCATGCCCCTTGGTTCCACCCCCTACCCACCTCCGAGCATCGTCCCTTGGTTCCTCCCCCTACCCACCTCTGAGCACCGTCCCTTGGTTCCACCCCCTACCCACCTATGAGCATGCCCCTTGGTTCCACCCCCTACCCACCTCCGAGCATCGTCCCTTGGTTCCTCCCCCTACCCACCTCTGAGCACCGTCCCTTGGTTCCACCCCCTACCCACCTATGAGCATGCCCCTTGGTTCCACCCCCTACCCACCTCCGAGCATCGTCCCTTGGTTCCTCCCCCTACCCACCTCTGAGCACCGTCCCTTGGTTCCACCCCCTACCCACCTATGAGCAAGCCCCTTGGTTCCACCCCCTACCCACCTCCGAGCATCGTCCCTTGGTTCCTCCCCCTACCCACCTCTGAGCACCGTCCCTTGGTTCCACCCCCTACCCACCTATGAGCAAGCCCCTTGGTTCCTCCCCCCTACCCACCTCCGAGTACTGTCCCTTGGTTCCTCCACCTACCCCTAGATCTATATAGGGGAATCAGGACCTCCTTCCTCCTGCCGGTGACCCCTCTAGTGATGTATCCTGGAATTCTATTCACTTTCCCCACTGTCTGGTCACACTGTTTGCTCATTTTGCAATCATCTGAAATAATTACCCCCAGGTCCTTTTCCTCTGTAGTGCTGGCCAGCACTGGACCCCCAATGTTGTACCCTCTCGGGGGGATACTTTTCCCTCATTATTTTACATTTAAAAACATTGAACTGCAATTTCCAGGTTTTTTTTTATTAATCTTCCAGCAATGCCAAATCCAGTTCCATGTTACAGACATCCTCCAGGGATATCCTCCCTATTACACACCTTTGTGTCCTCAGCAAAGAGACATCCCCTTACCCAACGAAGAGACATCCTCTTACCCAAACAAAGAGACATCCCCTTACCCAACAAAGAGACATCCCCTTACCCAACAAAGAGACATCCCATTACCCAACGAAGAGACATCCTCTTACCCAACAAAGAGACATCCCTCTTACCCAACAAAGAGACATCCCCTTACCCAACAAAGAGACATCCCCTTACCCAACAACCCTTTAATTATGTCACTTACATATAGATGACATAGAACAGGACCCAGTACAGAGCCATGGGGTACCCCACTAGTGACTGGTCTCTGTTCCAAGTGAACCGCATTTACAGCCACACTCTGGTATCTATCCTTCAGCCAGCTGCCTATCCACTAAGCCACCCAAGGGCCAAGGCCCAACTTGTCCAACATTTGTATTCGATCGTTATGTGGAACTGTATCACATGGGTTGCTGGAATTGAGATATGCCACGTCCACAGCACCACCCTGGTCCAAATCATTGGTGATAGAGTCAGATGAGTCGGCCATTGATCTGCTCTCCGTGAAGCCATGCTGCTTTGGGTCCAGCAAGTTGTGTGATTTTAGGTGATCGATGATCCTTCTTTTCAGGAGCGATTCCATTAACTTGACTACCACCGATGTTAGACTCACTGGCCTGTAATTGCCGGCTTCTACCTTGCTGCCCTTCTTGTGGATCGGTACAATATTAGCCGTCTGCCACTCATGGGGAACTTCTCCTGTTAGAAGAGATTGATGAAAAAGATCAGTTACTGGTCCAACAACTAGACCTCGAAGTTCTCTCAGAGATCTCCCCCCCTTCCAGTCCGGACACTTTCACCCCCTTCCAGTCCGGACACTTTCCCCCCCTTCAAGTCCGGACACTCCCCCCACCCCTTCCAGTCCGGACACTTTCCCCCCTTCCAGTCCGGACACTTTGCCCCCCCTTCCAGTCCGGACACTTTCACCCCCTTCCAGTCCGGACACTTTCCCCCCCTTCCAGTCCGGACACTCCCCCCACCCCTTCCAGTCCGGACACCCCCCCCCCCTTCCAGTCCGGATACTTTCCCCCCTTCCAGTCCGAACACTTTCCCCCCCTTCCAGTCCAGACACTTCCCCCCTTCCAGTCCGGACACTTTCCCCCCCTTCCAGTCCGGACACTCCCCCCCACCCCTTCCAGTCCGGACACTTCCCCCCTTCCAGTCCGGATACTTTCCCCCCTTCCAGTCCGAACACTTTCCCCCCCTTCCAGTCCAGATACTTCCCCCCTTCCAGTCCGGACACTTTCCCCCCCTTCCAGTCCGGACACTTTCACCCCCTTCCAGTCCGGACACTTTTCCCCCCCTTCCAGTCCGGACACTTTCCCCCCTTCCAGTCCGGACACTTTCACCCCCTTCCAGTCCGGACACTTTCCCCCCCCTTTCCAGTCCGGACACTTTCCCCCCTTCCAGTCCGGACACTTTCACCCCCTTCCAGTCCGAACACTTTCCCCCCCTTCCAGTCCAGACACTTTCACCCCCTTCCAGTCCGGACACTTTCACCCCCTTCCAGTCCGAACACTTTCACCCCTTCCAGTCCGGACATTTCCCCCCTTCCAGTCCGGATACTTCCCCCCCTTCCAGTCCAGACACTCCCCCCCCCCCTTCCGGTCCGGACACTTCCCCCCCTTCCAGTCCGGACACTTTCCCTCCCCTTCCAGTCCGGACACTTTCCCCCCCCTTCCAGTCCGGACACTTTCCCCTCCTTCCAGTCCGGACACTTTCCCCCCCCCTTCCAGTCCAGGCCAATTTTCAGCTTTCAGTACTATCACACTATGAATGACAATTGCGCGGTCATGCAACACTGTACCCATATGAATTTTTTAGCATTTTTTGAGACAGATAAAACTTTATTTTGGTGGTATTTATTCACCGCTGGGACTTTTATTTTTTTTGCTATGTAAATGAAAAAGTCCAAAAATTTTGAAAAAAAGTGTTTTTCTTATAAAATTTTGCAAATAAATAATATTTCATCATAAATCTCGGCCAAAATGTATTCCGTTATCTTTTTAGTAAAAAAAAAAAAAAAAAAACCCAAATTAGTTTATAACCAAAAATTATAATTTTTTTTTTTTTTTTTTTTATATTATTATTTATGGGTATTTTTTTTAACATACTGTCACCCTAGCGGTACAGTGTCACCATGGTGACACTGTACTACTTGTGGGGGGTGATGAAGGCTGTAAAAGCAATCATTTCTCCTTCTCTCTGGCTGCATTCTTGCAGCCATTGAGAAGTACTGTGAGAGCTGTGATTGGTCACAGCTTGTCACATGGTACAAGGCTGTTGTGAATAGCCCTGTACCATGTGATCTCTGTGATCATTCACAGATTTCACACGTAGTAAGCAATGATGTCAGAAGTGACATCTTGTTTACTACTCTGCATGTGATCACTGATTGGCCAATCAGTGATCACATGAGCAGGACCTCGTACAGAGGTCCCGTACGACGATCGGTGTCCGGAAGACACAGCGGGTACCGGATCGCGGTGCTGTGTGCTCCCAGGGAGCGTGCACAAGCAGGGGGCGGGGAGGCCGTTTATAAACAGCCGCTCGAACCTGCACTGCCACCGTCTGGCCGTTTATATACATGGGCCAGATGGGAGGCGGTTAAGTGTTCTGCTACATCCTCCCTCAACATAGGTGCGGTGCCCAGTTTTAGTGATTCCATCGTATTTTATCTTTCTATCACTAATGTACCCAAAAAAAAAGGTTTTATTTCCTTTCTTAGATTTAGCTCTTCCTTCCTCTTTCTGTGGTTTGGCAGAACTGATAATTATCACTGTTCAACAGGTAAAAAGTTTTGGGCATAAAATTAGCTAATCTTACATAATTTTGGGGTGCTGAAAGCGAAAATGACCCTAAAAAAATGTTGATTGGCTCCAGTTTCCATGATATATTCACCCATCTAATGACGTAAGCCATTCAAAATTATGATGCAACTTCAGCTGCATATTGCGCAATTGATACTGGTGACCAATAGAAAATGTCATGTATACTGAGATGATGCAATATTAGCCTTTAATTGCATCACTTCACTGCATAAAAGCTGCAGTATCTGTAGCTGATTGGAGTTCGTCTTTACATTTCGTTTTCTGCTTATATAGGCTACTCAGTAATGCCTCCAACTTGTGTGAATAAAGCAGATAATTTCTGCTATATCTGCGGTGAAATAACTTTTATCTCACAAAAAAGGAGGATAACAGGAATGATTAAGAAAGTCTACAACTTGTATTTTGGCTGCAAGATAGGAGACCAGGACAAGAGCTGGGCACCACATATATGCTGCAATTCTTGTGGGACGGCACTGGAGCAATGGTTGAATGGCAAAAAAGGCATCTATGCCTTTCGCTGTGCCAATGGTTTGGAGAGAGCCAACAGATCATGTTAGTAATTGTTACTTTTGTATGGGGCCTCCAATTGTAAAAGGGCTAAATAAGAAGAAAAAGTTATCTGTGCGCTATCCAAATATTCCATCGGCAATACGTCCAGTTCCTCATGGAGAGGGGGCTACCAATTCCTAAAGCACCAGAATCCTTCGTGGTTGAGTCAAGTGAGGAAGAAGCTGAAGCGTGTCGTCACGTGCAGTTGTAAGAGATAGCCTTTTCCTCGAATACAAGAGAAAAGCCAAGAGAAGCAAAACCGACACAAACTGAAGACAAAACTAGTGAGAATCCGAAGTATTAAAATGATTCAACTTAGCTTATGGCTATCATTTTTCTTGGTAATCCTATGCAATATATTCTGCCATTTAGGCTTTGTTATGTATCAATATCACTTGCTTTATATTTGTGGAAAGACATCTATCTATAGAATTATTGTGCATTATGTAGTCATTACGCCTATAGTAGAAAACTTTCCGTTTACAGAAAAACTAGAGCCGATTGACAAATTTCATTGTTGTATTTGAACTCAGAATGTGAAATTCATTAAGAAATGGATCCTTTTGTTTCCAAAACTGGCAAAAAAATAAAAATTTGTTGAACAGTGTAATGTGTTTGGCCTCCTTTTTAGTCTTTTTTTATACTCTCCTCTGTCAGCTGCACCTCCTGTTTCCTTGAATCTCCTACATGATGATTTTTTCCCTTTACTATCCTACTTATCCGTTTAGTGAACCATATTGGGGGGTTTTATGTGTTTTCTTCTGTTTATTCTTACTAAGTGGCCTCCAGGATGGGAGACTCTAACAGTGCCCACTGATTACTTACTGCTGTCGTTTTGCACCAAGCAATGATGCTGTTGCTGCATGTTGTAACGTGTCAGGGAGTTATAAAGTTGCTGATTGGCCCACTTAAAGTCAACTTTAAAGGGAATGTCCCACATGAAAAACATAGAGGCTGCCATTCCTGAGATATTGTTTTTGAAAATGCTTTTTCCCTGGCTGTCTCTGGCTGCAATGGACAAACAGCTGGTGGTTTTGGAACTCCTTATCGGCACATTTGTTTAGAGGACCAACATAGCAGCCAGATCGGCAGCATTTTCAGAAAGAGCTGAAGAGATGAGAACCTCCATATTTCTTTTACAGATGTGACAGGAGAGCTTTAGGGGGTCTCCACAGCATATTCGTCTCCAGTTAAGGTGGTGGCATATTCGTCATCTCCAGTTAAGGTGGCACAGTCATCTCCATTTAAGGTGGCACAGTCATCTCTATTTAAGGTGGCACAGTCATCTCCATTTTATGGAGGCACAGTCATCTCCATTTAATGGAGGGTGGCACAGTCATCTCTATTTAAGGTGGCACAGTCATCTCCATTTATGGAGGCACAGTCATCTCCCTTTAGGGAGGCACAGTCATCTCTATTTAAGGTGGCACAGTCATCTCCATTTAAGGTGGCATATTCGTCTCCATTTAGGATGGCACAGTCATCTCTATTTAGGATGGCACAGTCATCTCTATTTAGGGTGGCACAGTCGTCTCCATTTAAGGTGGCACAGTCATCTCCATTTACAGAGGCACAGTCATCTCCATTTAGGGTGGAACAGTCATCTCCATTTAGGTGGCTTTATTTACAGTGGCACCGTCATCTTTATTTAAGGTGGCACATTCAACTCCATTTAGGGAGGCACAGTCATCTCTATTTAAGGTGGCACGGTCATCTCCATTTAGGGTGGCACAGTCAACTCCATTTAGGGTGGCACAGTCATCTCCATTTAGGGTGGCACAGTCATCTCTATTTAGGGTGGCACAGTCATCTCCATTTACAGAGGCCCAGTCATCTCCATTTAGGGTGGCACAGTCATCTCCATTTAGGGTGGCACAGTCATCTCCACCGTCACCGTCATCTTTATTTAAGGTGGCACATTCAACTCCATTTAGGGAGGCACAGTCATCTCCATTTACAGTGGCATTTTGGGTGGCACCGTCATCTTTATTTAAGGTGGCACATTCAACTCCATTTAGGGTGGCACAGTCATCTCTATTTAAGGTGGCACGGTCATCTCCATTTAGGGTGACACAGTCATCTCCGTTTAGGGGGTGGCACAGTCATCTCCATTTAGGGTGGCACAGTCATCTCCATTTAGGGTGGCACAGTCATCCATTTAGGGTGGCACAGTCATCTCCATTTAAGGCGGCACAGTCATCTCCAGAAGGACACGCAGCTCCAGGTGTCAGCGTTCGGCGGCCGCGCGTTCTCCGAATACACCAGAACATTATCTGACAGCAGCTAATTACAGCGCCACTTCAGAAGGGTCCGACGCCGGCGTTTTTCAATGCACTGCAAATTGTTGATTTTCTTTCTGCGGCGAGTATCTACAGCTTCAATGACAGTTATTAATTCCAGATTCCCCCCCCCCCCCCATCCTTTATGTCAAATCTTCCCTAAAGAAAAAAAAAAAAGGAAAAAAAAATCACACCAACTACGTGGGTCAAATTATTCCGTCTCCTCAAAGCTGTTTCCTGGCCCCGGCACAGACGCAGACCGCCTGATCCCGTCTTTATGGCGGTGAATTACTGACACTTTTTATCTGGATAAATATAGTCAATTTCAATTACTTAAAATACATATTGCATTTAGTTGCGCGCACATAAATTACGCCATTTTTCTTGTTAGCGGATGTCAATGTGCCTTTTCCGCAATTAAAAAGTCCGTCGTTAACAAAATATGTTTCTTAATAAAGTGTCTAATTCGGGGACTATTTAGTAAACATTAGTAATTCGGCTTTTATTTATTTCTGTCTGATTGATGAGATCTCAGAAATAAGCTCATTAGTTAAAAAGGATTTTTAAAGCAAATGGATCTGGAAGAGGCAATGAAGGAAATTGTACGAATAAACAGAGAACGTTCCATCCGGAAGGGGTGACTTTGTCCTGGAAGCCGAGGGCGGCCAATGAGGATTCAGGAAAGTGTAATAGAGTAACAACCAGGGGGGGACTGACCACTAGGGAACTCGGGCACTGCCCAGGGGCCCAGGGTCAGTAGGGGGCCCCATTAGATGTCCCTGGTACCTTTCATAGGCTTTTTTGGGTGTGATTTGAGTGTGGGCGAGGACACAGGGGCCCCATGATCCCCTATTGCCCGGGGGCCCCATGAGTTGTCGGTCCGTTCACAAGTCCGCCCCTGGTAACAACATAACAAAAAGAAGGGTGGTGCTGATTGTGTGCCGGGACGTGGCTATCCCGTGGAGGTGGGGAGTGTAGAACCTCCATGGTTAGGGTTATCCTCTTGTCATCTTCTCCATAGTCCTCCAGGAACCAGCACAGTGTAGCCTATCCTGCCGAAGGATATCCAGGAACCATCATGGCTGCCAATGGATGAGAACCAGAATTTC